TGTGTGTGGCGCATGTGTTCATGGTATGAGTGTGTGGTGCGTATGTGTGTAGTATGTAGATATATGCATGTGCTGTGTGTATATGTGTGTGGCGCATGTGTTCATGGTATGAGTGTGTGGTGCGTATGTGTGTAGTATGTAGATATATGCATGTGCTGTGTGTATATGCATGTGGCGCATATGTTCTTGGTATGTGTGTGGTGTGTATGTGTAGTATGTAGATATATGCATGTGCTGTGTGTATATGTGTGTGGTGCATGTGTTCATGGTATCAGTGTGTGGCGTGTATGTGTGTACTATGTAGATACATGCATGTGCTGTGTGTATAAGCGTGTGGCGCATGTGTTCATGGTATGAGTGTGATGTGTATGTGCAGTATGTAGATATATGCATGCACTGTGTGTATATGCGTGTGGTGTGTGTGTTCATGGTATGAGTGTGTGGTGTGTATGTGTGTAGTGTTTAGATATATGCATGTGCTGTGTGTATATGTGTGTGGCGCATGTGTTCATGGTATGAGTGTGTGGTGTGTATGTGTGTATGTAGATACATGCATGTGCTGTGTGTATATGCGTGTGGCGCATGTGTTCATGGTATGAGTGTGACGTGTATGTGTAGTATGTAGATATATGCATGTGCTGTGTGTATATGCATGTGGCACATATGTTCTTGGTATGTGTGTGGTGTGTATGTGTAGTATGTAGATATATGCATGTGCTGTGTGTATATGTGTGTGGTGCATGTGTTCATGGTATGAGTGTGTGGCGTGTATGTGTGTAGTATGTAGATACATGCATGTGCTGTGTGTATATGCGTGTGGCGCATGTCTTCATGGTATGAGTGTGACGTGTATGTGTAGTATGTAGATATATGCATGTGGTGTGTATATGCGTGTGGTGCGTGTGTTCATGGTATGAGTGTGTGGTGTGTATGTGTGTAGTATGTAGATATATGCGTGTGCTGTGTGTATATGTGTGTGACGCATGTGTTCATGGTATGAGTGTGACGTGTATGTGTAGTATGTAGATATATGCATGTGCTGTGTGTATATGTGTGTGGCGCATGTGTTCATGGTATGAGTGTGTGGTGTGTATGTGTACTATGTAGATATATGCATGTGCTGTGTGTATATGTGGCACATGTGTTCATGGTATGTGTGGCGTGTATGTGTGTATGTGTATATGTGCGTGTGCTGCGTGTGGATGTGTGGTGCATGTCTTTGTGGGGTATGCGTGTGTGCGGTGTGTGTGGTTTATATCCGTATTTTTCTTACTCCTCTGGAGACAGTTTCTTTCTTGTTCTTGTCCTCCAGCTGGATTTTCTCTTCTGCGGGCTTGTCCCGTCTTTGCTCCATTCACTGCTGCAGTGGTTCCCAAAGTGCGGCCCTGGAGCAGCGTCGGCCCCCCGGGAGCCCGTGGGAAACCCGATGTCCCACCCCAGACCCACTGACCGCGAGGTGGAAGGTCGCACCGAGCTGTGATAAGCCCGCCTGGTGATTCTGCTGCGAGCTCAAGTTTGGGAACCGCTGGTCTTGCGTTTTCCCCCCACATTTTTCTGCTTTATTTTTAGGGATGTACCGTCATCCTTGGGCAGCTTCTGCGTGTAAACGTTTTCTCCTCGTCTGTGGC